TCGACAAGTTGAGTTGAGTTGAGTTGAGTTGAGTTCCGTGTCGACCTGAGCCTGCCTTTAGAGGTGAAGAAAGTCACTGATCGAGTTCCTAGTCCACATAAAAAGTGCCCTGATTAATTATAATTAATATCATCATTTACAAACCTTTGTCTGGAAGAGCCTTTTCTTCAGCTTCTTCTGCCATCTGAGTTCCATTTGCCATACGTTTCTTACGAGCAGCTAGTCTTTCACGAGCCAGTCTCATCTGGCGTTCTCGATCAATCCGCAATCTGCCACATAGTAAAACACAGAGACCATCATGAATATACGTAAACAATTGTAATTAGGAAAACTATTTCATTGGGTTTTGAAGATTAATTGCAGAGCTGTGAGGAAGATATTTCAGCAAAACTCATATCCATCAAATGCCTAAGATATAATTACTATTAAACAATTCTCTGTAATCATTTCTTTGTGAAATATTCTATCAAGAAAGACAAAATGTATGCTGATTGGTCCAATTTGGCAAAACATAATAAACACATGAATTATGTATTATCTACACTTATGTTAGAATCATATACTTACTTCTCTTCAAGGGACATCTTATTCCGCTCAGCCAGGCCTAGGAGCAGTGCGACTTCATCAAAGTTATCTTCCCTTTCTGCCCTCCTCTTCTCTCTCCTAAGCCTAAGAAGTAAAGCCTGTCTTTCCTGTTCACTCAGATAGTTGCCATGCTGCCCTCGAAGCTGCCTCATCAGAGCATCCAGTTCATCGTCAAATCGCAGTTGAATATCTTTCATAATGTTGCCCGAAGATTTATCTTCATTCATATCCAATTCTAGTAAAAAGAAAAAAAAACACATATCAGCGGCAGAAAATTGTTCTAATTAATGCTTACATATTAAAAACTTACATAATGCCTGTATAACAAATGGGACCGCACATCCTGAAAACATCATATGAGTGGCTGTAAAGCTAGTATGTTGACTTTGACATGTAAAGAACAACTATTATTGGAACATGCATGGTAGGTTCAGATTTGTTTTTAAACCAGCAGGAAGGCCACAGGGGCACAGATTTGGAATCTCTCTTAGGTAAGAAAATTAAAGAGGGAGGAGACACATCTACTAGTGTAGGACCGCCATCTCTTTTGATATAGTATACATAGTATTAAAATTTTACTTTAATGAAATAAAAATATTATAAACATTCATAAAAAGTTGATGATGATCTTACCATCCTCACTTTCATCTTCAGATTCTAGGCCCTGAGCCTGCCTCTTTTCTCTTCTCAGTAGCCGCTGTCTCAGCTTTTTCTCATACTCCTCCCTGTTTTTCCCCATCATTGACAGTAAGTTCTTTTCTCTCTGGAAAATAATGTCATTCAAGAAGACAAATATAGTTTGTTCAGTTTGCATTTTCTTGTCTATGTGTTGATGTTTGTTTGGCAGATAACAGCCCACGACAGTTTTATTATAGAATATTAAATCTCATGTTCACCAGGTGTTTTTTGATAAGCACTTACATTTGCTGCATCACCAATGAGTCGATTAAGCTCATCCATTTTACCATCTTGTCTTAGCCGCCTTTCCTCTAATCTCTTCTTTACTAGTAAGCGTTGTTGCTCCTCGACTGTCTTTTTATTCCATTCCGCTACGCCATACTGATTGATCAGAGCTTCCATCAGCAGTTTGTCCCTGTGAATAATAAAAAAGAAATGTTACTGAATGAACCATAAGGAAGGTTGCTGCAGGCAGCGCAAACCTCACAAGGTGCTTCTTCATTGCAAGTCCAACAGCATGGGCAAGCCAAATGCTTGCCGAACCTAACACTAGGCTTAGGCCGCCCCCACCCCACTCATCCAACTCGACGCAGTAAGCTTTGCTACGAGTGATCGAGATGGAACGAAACACAAAACAAACTCAAGTGAAACTTCCTTATTAAAACTTTTAAAAAATATAGTAAATCCAAACAAAAGAAATCCATTCTTCTGAATACTGTCCTTCTTCTGTTTTCTGCTATTCAATTTCAATACTCATTGAACTGCTTGGGTGTGATTGTCATTTGTTTATCAACTAAAAATTAATGAGGACGAGCCTTGGGCGTGGGCGCAGTCACGTCCTAGGAAAATATGTTGGTTCTATTTTTTTCGTAGGAGTGTTCTTTAAGGAACAATGACAATTAGTCAGTTTATCCAGGTAAGTATTTTCATGAAAAAGACAAGAAATGTTACAGAATTTTTTTCAAAAACTCATTTCCAAGAAATTAAGGAAGTACGTAAGTAAGGTGATAGCTGACTAAAAGAAAGAAAGCAACACCCTGTAAAACGTTTGGCAAATTTTATTTTACATAGAACTAAGAAACTTTTTGAGAAGACCAATGTATAGGTGAGGTACTTAACGATGTAAGAAAATAAGCAGTTTTAATCCAAATATTTTCTCACCTGAGGACATCATATTTCTCCTCTAATGCCCTAATAATTTCTTGCTCTTCAGGGGTCAGTTCAAAGCTACCAAGGATTACCATGGAAATATTATCCAACCATTCCTCAATACGTGATTTGGCTTCTTTCTTAATGAGGCCCTGCAACTCAGATGCATCCTGAAATCAAATGTAGTAAAGACATAAGTGGGTGTACAGCGGTATGAGTGAGTCATGTTATTTTAGTGTATTTGTGCACATATCCAGGGTTCCCAAGTTGGAAGAAGTTATTTCCGGGAGATCTAGTAACAGTGGTTGATCCAGGAATTTGAAATAGGGGTTGTCAGCCCCACATTGGTCGGGGCTGAGGTAGGAAAGTTTGATTATGACACCTATAGATTGCTGGACATGACACTCTCAGATATAAATTTTAGAATATAATTTTCCTTTTTTCCGATTTTTGTATAATTTGGAAATTGAATGCTCTACTGATCTGCAGTGATTATGACTTTAACAAATTCAATTTCATATATTACTACATATATAGTGATACCCATCTGCACTGACTTTCATGAAACAATTGATAATAAAATACTTAAAACATGCAAATATCAGTGAATTTGCGGGAGATGTTATTTCCGGAAGATTCTTGCTTGCTTGTGGGAGTGCGGTAGGTCATCCTGATTTCCGGGAGACTCCCGCGAGTTACGGGAGACTTGGGACCTATGCATATTCCACAAACATGCAAGATTTCGTAAAGTTACACTGTCATTTTGTAGAAACAATATCCAGGGAGAGGGACTTATAAAATATCAATGCTCTGCATCATGCAAACTAATTTATTTTCAAAACGCATGAAAAATTGTTAAAAATGAGCAAATCAAATAATTTGTGATAAAGTTCTGTTCACACAATTAAGCTTTTATGTGAAAATTAAAGATATGACATCATATTGTCCATATATAGACAAATCACTCATATTTGTCACATAAAACCTGACAGTGTGTATGGAGCAAATTATAATTGTACCTTGTGATACATTTCCATGATCAGTTGATGAACTTCTCTGCACTGCTGCTGTTGAAGATCAGCGAGGACTACAGCGGCAAGATGGGTGTCATCAAGGTTATGACCTTTGACTTCTTCACGTCTATAAACATAATAACAATTTGCTTGATTAGATATATTATCATGATTAAAACAATGATGATAATAATAATATGCTGTTTTTTTTAATTTGTGAAAATATAGAAGTAATTTTGACATCAGCATGATAGTATTTCTGACCTGTTTTCAAAATACAGCCCCACACCTTCCTGTAGAAGTTTCATGTGAATGGAACGTTTAGATACCCGGTACTCCGATGACCCTTTCCGCCAGTTTTCCCGCTGACCACGTAACTGTTTCAGACAGCTGTCTCTAATGTCTTTGTTTTTGTTACGTGCAATTGCTTTGGCATTATTACTGTCTCTGCCTTGCAACAGGAAGATCAATATCTGGATGGAGAACAGTTCAAAATCTTAAATTTGTTTATTTGAATAGTTTTTCTTTCACATCAACAGTAGCACATCTAGCAGTGACATATATATCTAAAAGTCTTGAAATGGGGGGGGGGGGAAGAGAGATGATGGGGAGGTGGTTGAAGGTGGAGTGAGTCACTGATTAGGTGAGGGAGTGCTACAGTAGGTCACAAGATAATATGATACGAGGTGATTTTTAACTATTGAGCATGATCTGCTTCTACTTCGGACACTTTCAATGGAGGGTGTCTGGAGGACACAAACTTTTTTGGGGGAAACACCACTAATATCTAAGAGTGTTGAAATGGGGAGGGAGGTTAATTAATGCTTACATATTAAAAACTTGTAAACATACAATACCTGTAACAAATGGGAAGGAAGGTGATGAGTATTATTCAATTAAGTACAATTAAACAATATGAACTGTAAAAAAAATCAATTTACCTCTCTTTCTACAAAGTGTTTCTTTGCCATTTCATTCAACAAGTCTGTCTGAAGGTCCACAATTCCTTTGTCTTCATTCCCACTCCATTTATCCTCAAGTCTCTTAATTTTTTTACCTTTGCGTTCATTAAGTCTTTGTAGGGCGAGAATTTCTTGTAGATCTCTATCGTAGTCAAAACTAAAATTTAAAAAAATTTAGAATTGTAAGTATAGTACAGGAGTTATCGGCAAAGAGAGTGGTGTTGTGACTTGGTGGTTAAAATGCTAGCCTTCTAATCCCAAGGTCATGGGTTCAAATCCATGCCAATATACAGACATGATGTGCCTATATATGGTCATGATGTGATGTCATCATGATCATATTTTGGCGTGTCACATGTTATTGCTATACCTTGTTGCTTTGAATTCCTGAGGCCTCTCGCATAGGCCTACAGAGATGGCACAATACTGAAATGATTCCTCTAGTGTCATCATGTAGAACTGCAATTTAAGGTGCGCATATGTTGTGATCATCTCTCTTGACGTCAAAGTTTGGTTACCGACTTCTTTGAGCACTGATAGCAAATACTCTTTTTCGTACTGGTATCTCCTGTAAAGGTCAATTAACAACTGACCTCCCGTCGTTTCTCCTGAGTAAAAAGAAATTTGTGTGAATCATATTTTAACTTTCAGTCAGAAAACATTGAGTACATTCCTTTTTCTCTGCAAATCCATCATGACCATATAATTTTCATACTAGCATATTAGTTATGTTCTCTCAATCTCAATCTTAAATATAAACAAATTACACTATCGCTTAAGTCATGTAGTGTAATTAAAATAATAAAATTTGATAATAATATATACTAATATATAATAAGTTATTTATTATATACCTTGAATAGATTCTGCATATTTTTTTGCAAAGGATATGTAAATTTCTTGCTCTGTTTTGCCATCTGCTTGTAACATCGATGTAGTTTGTTTTTGGTTCTCAAGATACAGGGCATGTTTGTCCTGAGTGTAGCCAATGAGTGCCTCCAGCTTGGATGGGTAAGAGTGTGAAGCGATCTCTAGGCCTAGAATCTTCTCATCCACACCCTGTCGTATGTACTCATTCACTCTCAGTTGGACTTGCAATACATGTTCTTCATGTTCACTCTCAGACATAGTAGACCATAACATTTCACCTGAAGGGGAATAATTTGTTATTTGTATTTGGGCACGGTAACAAAATTTTATTCTTGGCCAATTAGCGACGTCGTGAGGAAAAAGTGGAAATTCCAGAAAAAAATAAAATTTTTATTTTATTTATTATTTTTATTTTTTTATTTATTATTATTTTTTTTAATGTATTTTTTATTTAAATAATTTTTAAAATTTTTAATTAATTTATTTTTTAATATTTTATTTTTTATTCCGCCCTTCTCCCAGAAAAAAATAAAATTTTTATTTTATTTATTATTTTTATTTTTTTATTTATTATTATTTTTTTTTAATGTATTTTTTATTTAATTAATTTTTAAAATTTTTAATTAATTTATTTTTTAATATTTTATTTTTTATTCCGCCCTTTTCCCATAATCTTAAAAAAAATAAGTATGCGAAACAAGGAATAAAAAGAGTATCGCCTTACCTGTTTGTTTTCTGATAAGTTCCCAGAGGAGCTTTTCTTTTAGGTAATTATACTTCAGATCTATTGCTTGCATGAGTTCCGTTACAGACACTCTGTTGCGATTGTTGCGGTTGAAGTCATCCCAGTCCATGCCATCGTCAAAAAGCATTGCTTCCAACCCAAGATGGTTCCATCTTAAAGTTAAAAGAATGTCAAATATTAATAGAAGCGTGTGGCACAGTGTGAAAGGCGTTGAAATTGTTAATCGGAAGGTCGGGGGTTTAAGACCGATGCTCATCACACTGCCTGTATCCTTGGTCAAGACACTTCATCTGCATTTGCCTCTCTTCACCCAGGAGTATAATTGGGTATCTGGTGGAGATGAATGATTCTGAATGAAATTATTTGTGCTGAAGATTATACGCATAACTAGGAATACTCCCCAGGGAGTGGAGGAGGTTGCACGTTGTGTATGATTGATTCTGTATCCAATGACCTGGGAAAAATGTACCTTGAGCATGCAGTTTTTTGGATATGTGCGCTTTATAAATCCTACAAAATAATACTAATGTAATCAATTACATAATTTAAGGTCATATAAAATATGTTACCTAAAGCAATAATCTAAGCATTTGTCACCTTTGATACATTAACAAAACAAGTTTAGAAATATAAAGAAATCAGAGAAAATCCAAATCTGTCAGGTAATGTTTATCACAGTACTCCAAATAACAAATTACTTTTATCTGCATACCTCTGAAGTTTCCGGCGAGCACCTCGACGAAACTTCTCCCGGTACTCTTGCTTTTCTCGTGCCTGTAAAGCACGGATCTGCTCATCCAGTTCCTGAAATGCCAGAAACTGCTTATGGTTCTCAAATTCCTCCTCGATCTTCTGGGTCTCAAGTTTATTACATTCATTAATTACAATTGAATCCTTACACGGAGGACCATCTGGAATGTTGCACAACCACATGCGGACTTCATCAAAGCATACATTATCCTTCAAAGACTCTCTGGTTTCTAAGAATTTATTCCAAGTGTTCATAGAAAATTTCTCCTGGTGCGTAGCTAAAGGAGAGGAAGTAAAATTTAAGTGATATTCATTGTTAAATTTATCATCTACAATGAGTTGACATGAGTTTTTGAAAATGTAAATATGCTGAACTGTGACCAGTTCTGATGTAGAATATAAATGCACTTTATAACTACTATTATAATAATGCATCTGTTAATGCACGCCATAAATTTATCATCATCATTTATCAACAACACCAGTTGGATATAATAATCATCATTTTCATCACCACCAACTTCAGTATGCAATATACACTTTACTACCAGTTTAACTAGGCTTGCATGGGCGGATCCTTAGACAAATCTGTGTAGGGGGCCATTCTCAGTGCAAGTGGAAGTGGGGGAGGAGCTGGTGGTATAGTCGATTGTAAAACAAGATCAATAAGAACACAGACATTGAAACTTTTATACAGGAATTATGTAGTGCTTTCAAAATTATTTTCTTTTCTCTCGCCCCTCTTCTTTCTTTTCTTTTCTCCTTTCTTTGTTTGGAAGGATCTCTAGTCCCAATGGCTTCTCACCCCACCCCTGGACAGCCCCTGGATTCACCCCACCCCACCCCTGTATTCACCCTGAGTACAATGAAATTCTACTGCATTTACATTGTACCTTTGAAAAGGAAGAGTGCATCTTTAATGGAAATGACATCGCAACCATCTCTGTCCAGAGCTTTGAAATCCCACAATGCTTGCTCTTCTACTATTCTACGCCGCTCTAGCTCAAGAAGCACAGGAAGGAAGTGTGTACGTGTACACAAACCCCCCGACATAGCCCCGCAGACAGCCTGGACTGCTGCAGGTACGTGCTCAGGAAATATCGGTGAACTGTGGATACTTTCATCAAATCGCTGAACATCTTGAGTCGTGATGTACCCATTCTGGGTGGGGTCAAGAAGGTCAAAGAATTGAAGAGCTTCTTCAGCCATAATTGTCTGCCTTCATACAAGTTTCCTGCAATATAAATTTCAGCTGATGTTATTAAGTTTATGCCCATCCATTTATTTATATAACTTAAAAGATTACTTTAGATAATTTTTATTCTTAAATAATCAAGAAGCTGTATCTCATTAAACGTTCCAAGTACCTTTTCTGTGTTTTAGAAAAATCAGTACAATAAACATATCAAACATTTGTTTTCTTCAGGAGCCCGTCGTCATTAATTAAAATTTTCATTGATATTCAATCAGTTCATTAGTTATTTGAATTTTTTTCCTTACTGTACATTATCATTAATTTAATTTTTGTTGAACATCATCCTTCACTACCTACTACAACAGTACCTTGGCCACGGACGTAAAATAACCCAGCACCAGCTTATGCATCCTAGGTCTATTAAAAGTGCGCACTTGCGAACGGACCGACGCGACGGTTCCCGTTCCGGTCGAGTACATACTTACATAATAAATCAAGCCTACACAGTCAAAGCCATCACTCTTAGCCTGGAGACGCTACCTAGGCCTAAGCCAATTATTTATATGACGCAGCAAATTAGCTAAACAATATGTACTAAAATTATCATACCTCACCATCAGGAAAATGGAAAATTTAGCATAAAACAAATCTCATTTTCTCGGGAAACTTCTAAGCAAAGACTATCGCCTGCTTTGTTTTCATACAGTCGCAGAAAGCGGTGGTGTGACGTCACTGCAGCTAGGAAACGTCTGCAACAGGCGGTTGTAAATATGTTAAAATAAACAAATATATAAAGACTTTGATCTAAACAAAACTATTAATATATTATATGCAATATTATTGTATTATACAGACTGTATTTATATAATTATTTAACTAGAAATAATATATAAAAAATAACAGTTTATATATATGTTATGAGAGTTTTAGTACACATAGATATGGCTACTTTTGGTGCAGACCGCTTCCGAGGTATGATAGGGAATTTTTTTGGAAAACATGCCAAAAAATCATGGAAAGCATTGGTATCAGATTTTCTTTACGTCCTATATGGTGTAAAGAATGGATTTTTATATGACTATGGTATAATTGATTCAGATTCCATGATAGCTTTCTTACAAGACTTCACAAATTTGCTAGCAGTCGACACTAGCGTAGGTGGCCTATCCCTACGCGACTGCCTATCTGTTAATGTTATTGAGGTTAATGAGAACATCTTTGTTGTTAACACTGATATATTAATACCATTCCTCCGAAGATGCTTAGAGAAAGGATACCTTAAATGCATTGATGTTTCTGGTAAACTAGATGAACCAGTTATTTGTACCGATCACGTTATTTCAGAGAATATAGTGAAAGAGTTAGCAAGCTCTCTGAAAATCATTCTTGATTTTGCAACAGAGGGCAGTCTTGCTTGTAATAGTGATTCAATGGACCAGGCTACTCTACTAAACAAACCTACTATCAGAAAGCTGAAAGTTGATGTTGCCACTGGCTGCAATATTACAACTCTTTTTGGAATTTTGATCGGATACCCAATCGTATATTGGTATAACAACCGTGATGTCAACAACTGCCTCGGAATGGTCCCTCTGCGTGTTTACAATGTAAAATGTATCGTCCACCTTGCAGATATCAGTGGAAAATTTACCATGTATTCTTTTAGTATTCCTGATTCATTGGTATCATGTTTTAAGGAAAGGATCGTATCGTGGTTTGATGATTTGCAGTCAAGAGTAAAAAAGCTGGATGAAAAACATTTGTTTAAAGAATTAGAGTTAGAGTCGCATGTTGTTGTTCTACCAGCGCTCACTTTATGATGAACAACATTTTACATTCATCTTTATGTTGCTCATCTATTCTGTGGGGACAGGGATTTTGAATAACATAATAACAAAGTCCCAATTGTAACTTTCGACACAGAAAACAAGAAGTCACTGTACAGTAGACACTCCAGAAATTTTCCAACAGGGAGGAAAAAAGAGTGTGCGAACCAGGGGGTGGCAAAGGTCAAAAGTCGGGTTACCAAAGCAAAAATCATGGTGGGGTCAAGTGGGAGAGATTGTATTATTTATGATAGTAAAAATTATGCTTTATACTTTAGATCAAAACAACAATAGAAACTGCAATCACAATAACTTTTGCTAGGTTGGAAAAAATATTATTTAGATCAAGTAGCATCAGACGATGGCCAATTCCATGTTTTGTAAGGTCGTATGTGGGGTAATTTACATTTCTCACTGCCTGCTAATACCACTAATGCAATCATACACATTCTTCTACATATTCATGACCAATCAATACAAAAAGATTGTTGTTTTGCAGAAAATTTTCTAATGTAAACATGAATTGGAAAAGGTCTCAATATTATACTTGCTGGATGAATTATAACTCCATGTTTAGTGCTTGTAAAATGAAGGTTAGTAATACGCTTTCTGTTTAATCTGAAACCCCTTCAAATTCAATTTAAACACTGAATCACTCAAGGATTAAATAAGTAATCTTCCAACACAGATTAAAACAATTCAGTTTTAGATAAATTAGACTTCTCAATTCAGTTTATTATGAAAGGTCTTACATATACATCTGTTAATTAGTCAAGAAATATTGTTAAATTCATTAATTTAATGTTAATAACTTGTGTATAAAAAGTTAGCAACTGTAATACTGTATTTCAATTGTTAAGTTTTTTTTTAGAAGTGTAACTGCTATATTAGTAAAACAAACATAAAAAGATAGCTACAATAATACCTAATTTAGGGTACCTTTTATTCTGATACAACATATATTTTTCAATAAAGAATAAATTATTTATATAAATGTTGCAGCGTCTTTATCTGTCTGTTGTGATAGCAATAAGTACAAAGCATTTATAGTAGTGATTTAAAAAATGTAAATTTCATACTAATTTACACCCAGGAAAGCATTCCTAAGCCGGGCATAGAAATAAACTTAACAATGTTTGATCAGACATAAATAAACTGTTGTATACCCATAGACAAGATCTGCCTACTATGGTTATAGTGTGATGTCATCATGACCATATTTAGGCATGAGAGTTTGGTCAGGGCTTTATACAAGTAGGCCTACACATCATCTTGGATTGCTATAAGTCTTGGTGCTTACACTTCTATAATTCTGACACAGATACCGTTGGCAGTAGTCTATAATTACACCACTGATGTACAGTACCATGGTCTGTACAGTTGGTTATATTTTTCAAGTCTGCTGAGAGAATGTAATAATTGGTCTATAAACTATCAATATGGTTCCTTTCTTGGACTTCGTATTCATAAAATTACTACTTTCAGCAATGCTAAATGCTCGATCAAATTGGGGAGTGTTTGGCACAGCTCTGCAGTGCAACGATTGCAATTAAAAGCTATATTTTCTTTGATTCAAACTTCAACACAAACATTTCTTAATAAAATGTGCATCAGCTATTTAACAATAAATTCCATGCAGGCTTAGCAAAGCCTGTTTACAGCAAGGTCTTACAGGGGTGACTATCTTAAAGCCCTGTCCAGACTATCAAATTTTATTCAACAAAAATCATGCCTAAATAAGGTCATGATGACATCACAACATCACCATAAACAGAACATAAAATACAACACTTTTTGTCAAAGAAAATTTGATAGTGTGGACGGGGCTTTAAAACTATGATAAAGCTGGTTATCCCAGAGTCTTATCAAACATTGTGAATCTGACAGATATCTGCATGCTTAACATTCAAAGGGTAGATTTATTTTTGTAACAAGAAATAGAAATAAAGAGAATCTTGTATTAATTTTAGAATAAAAACCATCTACCTGCACTTTTAAACCGGCCAAATAATCAAAAATGAAAAATAATCACAGAAATAAAATTTAAACATAGCTGCATGTATATCTAAACATTGTACTGTATAAAATTAAATAATTATTCATTATCTGTACAACGATGAACGAGAGGACCCCCTCACAACTCCTGCTTCTTGAAATGTTTAGGTTTAAGTTTCTCGATTAACTTAATAAAATCTGACTTCTCAGTACATGCTTTGCAGACTTCTCCCCAATCACTCAAAATCTTCTTTAAGTCTTTCACTTTTAGTTTTTTCAAGTCTACAGCATCCAGATCTATTTGCTTTTCTGTAAAAGATAAAATTCAATTCAGGTGTTATTGTCCAAAAAGAAAAAAGAGAGCGGAAACACATATCCATTGATTGATTTTTATTTATACAGCCAGGGGTGTATCCAGGATTTTTTCTGGGTGGGTCGTGATCATAATTTTTTTAACCTTCCCACAATGAAATAACAGGAAGATGTGATTAAAATGTCAATACAATTTTTAAAAAAAATAAATTGCTGCCAAATTGACACAGATTGAGGACGTTCATTCCTTGGAACTGAGATAGATTATGTCACACAATTGGCAAGGTCTTTGAACTCATTGCTGGTACCTCATCAATGCTTTTTCCTTTATATCATTGTGAAAAGGCCCTAGAAATAAATGTCTTTGGAAAAAAGGTGGACCTTTGAAAATTTTGAGGGGGAGGGAGGTCATACGACCTTCCTGCCTCTCCCCCACCCCTTGCATACACCCATGACAGCCCCCTGTAGTGTACAACAAGAGTTGCTGGTACCGGGTAGTACTGATATAGAGGGGCTCTTAAGGGAGAAAATATCTATATACTGTATATTCAAATAAATTCCCCAGTTGAGATTGTTGAGAAGGTTTTTTGAGGAGGTATTTATTCAAGGGAGCAGTTTATTACAGGAGGTGTTTATTTTGGTGTAAAATGGATATGTATATACTCAAATAAACACCCCTTAATTTCACTGTAAATGTGAAACTACTGTAACACATATAGTTACTGTCAAAATGTGTTATTGCGTGATCTTCAAGACTTATAGATCCCATCCTAGTTAGAAAAAGTGTAATTCTAACGGTGTAGAACATTAATAGAATGCATTGAGAATGGTATTGCTTTCATTGCTTTTTATGGGGGGGGGGGGCGCTATAATCAAATAAATGTGTTAAAGAATATAAGCACCCACCATATTTAAGTTCACAAATCTGGCCATCTTTCTTCTTAAGTTTTTCACATATTCTATCAGCTGGCATATGAGATATCAATGGTTTAGAAATTTCACCAAGCAGCCCAGTGGCAGCATCCTCAGTCCCACCTACATAATAACACTAAGAGAAAAAAAGAAAGGGAAAATAATGTACAATATACAATAATCTCTCTTAATGTGTTGTGTATATCATCCCAATTTGAGACTACTCGGCCCCAAGTGAACTCGGCTGCAAGTAAACTCGGCTCCATTTTAACTCGGCCCTAAGTCAACTTGGCCCAAGAGGTCAACTCGGCCCCAATTTTCTGTGTATTCATGGAATAATTAAAGCAACAGTTTATTATTAATGTTAGGTGGATGTAAATGAAAAAGGAAAAACAAAGACAATGATTTAAGACACTGTAATTATGGCATAGTTTGGCTTTGCATTCAAATCTCTTTTGATAATAATGTCATAAATACACAGAAAATTGGGGCCGAGGTGGTTTCTTAGGGCCGAGCTGACTTGGAGCTGAGCTGACTTGGGGCAGTGTTGACCTGCTTCTCTCGAGAGTCTTCAACATGAGGGCTTGGAACAAATACAGTACAGTAACAATTAATTTCAGTTTTCATCTTAAAATATCATATAAACATTACAGTATATTAATAATAATAAAGTACTGTATAGTGTATTACGTACTGTATATACTATATTTTATTAATTATCATTATGTATAATTATATCAATAATTTACAAGTAATTGTCAAATACTTTAAAGATACCATGTTGACCTTAAAAATTGGACTGTCTACCATTTATATTTAAGTTATTACTAATCAAACTTAAATTTTAAAAAGATTTTTGTTGAATTATTATATCTTAATGTCATAATTTTTCATTTGATTTTTGCTGAAAATGCAAACATCCTGAAAATACAATCTACATATTCCTTTCTTAGAAAAATAATTATCATAAAGATAAAACAGTTCTGGGACCGCAGCAATGTGGTCTTTAATTGGAGGGGTCTTTTAGAAGGAGAACCAGGTACATTATTGAAAAAACACATCCAACAGGGAAATTGCATGAAAGTTAGGTAGATGCGTGATCAAATCGGAAGAGTTGGAACATAAGGTAACAAATATGTATATTATAGCAATCATGTTTAATAATGTATTAAATAACATGCATAATAGGTGACACTTAAGTTGAAAACAACTTACAAATCTGTTTTCTCGATTTTTAGCTTTCTTGCATATTTTTCTGATTACACCTTCAATCTTTTCTTGACTTTTCCTTTCTTCTGAGGTTAGCTGTTTATCTATTTGTTTAACAACACTTATACAAACTGAAAAAAAGAATATAAATTAATAACATTTGTACCTGCTGTTGCAACATACAATTTGAAATCATTAACACTAATAGTAATAGTATAGTTTTTTTTTTTTAATTAATTTGTATCTTTATACTAAATTTTTCATATCTGAATGTTTTTACTCTGTAATGCCAGTAGAGAATTGTTTATTCAGATAATACAATTAAGTTCATGGTTTATCTTTGTATTTAAAGTTAGTTTTCAAACTAGATTTTAATGTTATGGTATCCACTCTGCTGGATGACAGCAGTCGGGTAGCGGCGTGAGCTCTCAGGGGCAAAGCTTCAGGCCTTGAGTTAAAAGTCCTTCTCTCAATCAGTGTTGGTGTATTGATTACTGTTTGAACGGTGCCTTGTATTTAAAAAAATAAAACGATTGAATGATTGATCTTCAATGGGGCTTTGATTAATTTCAAATGCTAAAAAATACCAAGTGAGGAATGACGATTTAAGGAAATATTCCATGTGAAAATAAAGGTTGATTCCAAGGTGTAATAACATTTTAAATGACATCGACGTCATCTAAAATGCAGTATTTTCAAACTTAACGTTGTTTTCTTTGGTAGGGATATACAGTACCATACTGTAAAGTTTTTTGATTGCGTGGATACCTAAAAAATCTGCTCAAATTTGCATGGAAAATCGCTAGGAAAATAGGTGCACGGAATCGTAATTACTGCTTTGCATTGATTATAATTAAAATTTGGTCAAAGCCTACTTTTCGGAACAATCTCTCCGTGCATAGACCTTACTATACAGTCTGGGGAATATATTTTATCTACCATTTGGCCACTTTTTGAGTGAAAATACTCTACTGACACAGGGCATAATAAACCTAGGCCTAGCTCTGGGTCACACGGCTTGTCATTACATACACTACTACTAAGTGATAGGCCTCTAGTTGTTATTGTTACTATAAAATTATCATCATGATTAATAATTGTGGCCCTAATACATTATTCAAAATGGCCTGATCACTACAAAAGTAAAATTATAAATAATTAATAATAATACATGTAATAGAGACAAGGCTACAAAAAGTGCAATTACTCATCAGTTTCTTTTTAATTTAAAAATGACATGACATACAGTTGCTGTTAAAAAATAAATTGACACAACCATGTTTCGAGGGACCCGTCGGACCAAACCGTATATCACTAAAAAGGCTGTTCCTTCATTTTGTGCTAGCAGACTAGGCTAGGCCTCTACGTAGCTGATACTTATACACCCTCCCCGGGGCAAATTGCCACCATCACACATACAGTACAGAGACAACCGCTTCATCCCATAAATACTAACCTTCGCAATCACCGTCTTGTAATTTCGCTTGAATTTTACATATAACAGCAAAGAATACGGTTATAAGTAACGTTCTAGATAACCACGTTTTCATTTTATTTATTTAGATGCTAACTAAAGCAAAAACAACTTCCTTCTTTATCTTCTCCAGTGATAAAACAAAGACAGTCCCTGAGTTTTTCAACGCGAAAAATGTACTGCACACCGGTCGTACGCGTGTACCAAAACCATTGATACAAAACAAGCACAGTTGGCTAAATCTGATTGGCCGAAAGCCGGTAGACATGACCCCAAAATTCCATCGAAAGAGGGCGTGGTACAAGTAAAATTAAATGATTTAATTGTTGCTTATGATAAAATCAGTCAGTGACAATTTCGATAATTTCAATATATTTTATTACGGTGATATTTTGTGGCGCGCAACTGTGCTTCCAACAATTAATTATGGTTGCCCTGCATGGTGTACCTTAAGTAAACTTTACATACTAGTAACTAAATTAGAACGCCTCAAACTCCTCATAGCATTACTAAAAGGTCCAGAATTGAAAAACCATGAGCAACACTAAATAAATACATTTAATAGTTCAATTCAATTCAACTAATATTTATTTCACTTTTATCATATTGTATAGTATGCGTGATGATAATTCATAATAAAGAGAAAATAAGTACCTAGAAATGATCATTTCGTGAAAAAGGAACTCTGTGAATAAGCATGCTTTTAGTTGTAGAGCGCCATAGGCCTATATACAATAATAAGCTTACCAAAAAAATGACATTTAAGGAGCTAAGTTATTATTTCACCAATATAATTAGCTATCAATTATAAATAAAGTTAATGTATTATTTATTTAAGTGGTTAATGAAAGATTATTGCAAAATATACAGTTGTTATACAACTATCTCATCCCTCATATTCCTCTCATTTAAAAGGAACAAATTTAAAAAATCTTTCACTCATCCGATAATTGGAGATTGAATTATAAGTAAACCATTCTTCCCAGATTATGCAATAATACAACCACATCCTAAATTAAAACACTATTTAATTGATTAGACTTTGAGAGAGTTGCACTAAAGTTTAAATTCAGGTCCATTAAAAGCATTGGAATTAAAATAATATAATAAAAAAAACTTAAATAATAAAAAAATATGAAATGTATATGTAATTTAAATTCGGATGAAAATATCTGCCATTTTCTATCTGACTGATTACATAACATCGCATGAAAGAAAATATTAGCTACAAGAAGTTGAATTATACCTAATTGACAACCAAGCTTTATTTCCATCTCTTAGCCTAAGTTTTGTAATTTTGTATTATTTTTTAGTGTAGTTTTGAATGAATAAAATTAATGATTTCAGTACAGCTTCATATTACACAACTATCTACATATATATAATGCCTATGCTGCTGCTTTTCGTACACAGTATAGGAA